ATAGATAGATAGATAGATAGATAGATAGATAGATAGATAGATAGATAAATTTTGTACATATTTACAATACGTCTTAAAAAATATATGCCACAACTTGGTTACTATAATTGAAGAAACTACCGCATTCATCTTCTTACGCAGTAATCCATTCCCTCAAGTAAGTAGAAATAATCCACTCACATATCAAAGCCTATGATACAATACACTGCTATTAACTCCAGCCCTCCTGTTGTGCGTTAGATCTTTCACTGCTGTCATCTGTATCTTGGAAGTGTACTCACTGATGGAGCACTTAACCAGCAAGGGTGAGGTTCAATGACCAGTGGAGACAAAATAACCTTTTCAATTTCTTCATATCTATAGTCTCCGTTGTATCGATGGAGAAACAAAGGATCACGGGAGACAGAAGGCCCAGTTAAGTCACTAGACTGAAGCACCCCACCACCCACTTTCCCGTTGCAAATGCTTAATCTGTGTCTTGGGCTCCCTCTAATGGCCATAGTGGGAAAAATCCCTATTAAGTAGGTGTGTTTTGTTCATTCTGTCCCTTCCCCCTGCCCTGGTCCATTCCATTCCCACACCCAATCCTCCTGCCACTTTACACTTTCTTCTGTTCAAACAATGTACTCATGCAAGCAATCCTGCAGTAGGACGGGCACACACACAAAAAAGAACTTCTGTAAAGCAAAGGACACAGTCAACAAGACAAAACAGCAGCCTGCAGAATGGAAAAAGATCTTCACCAACACCACATTGGACAGAGGGCTGATCTCCAAAATATACAAAGAACTCAAAAATCGTTCTTTTGATGAACAAATAATCCAATAAAAAATGGGGTACAGAACTAAACAGAGAACTCTGAACAGATGAATCTAAAATGACTGAAAGATACTTAAGGAAATGTTCAGCATCCTTAATCATCAGAGAAATGCAAATCAAAACAATTCTGAAATTCTATCTGACACCTCTAAAAATGGCCAAGATAAAAACCACTCATAACAACTTGTGCCGGAGAGGATGTGGGGTAAAGGAAATACTCATTCATTGCTGGTGGGAGTTCAAACTGGTACAGCCCTGTTGGATATCAGTATGGTGACTTCTCAGAAAATCAGGAAACAATCAACCTCAAGACCCAGCAATACCACTTTAGGGTATTTACCCAAAGATGTTCAATTGTACCACAAAGTCATGTGTTCAGCTATGTTCATATCAACATTGTTTGTCATAGACAGAACCTGGAAACAACCTAAATGCCCCTCAGTTGAGAAATGGATAAGGAAAATGTGGTTCATTTACACAATGGAGTACTACACAGCGGAAAAATATAAGGACATGTTGAAATTTGCAGGCAAATGGATGGATCTAAAGAACACTGATACTGAGTGAGGTAACCCAGACACAGAAAGACAAATAGCATATGTACTCTCTTATAAGAGGCTTTTAAACATAAAGCAAAGGAAAAACCAGCCTACAAATCACAATCCCAGAGAACCTAGACAACAAAGAGGACCCTAAGAGAGACATACATGGATCTAATCTACATGGAAAGTAGAAAAAGACAAGATCTCCTGAGTAAATTGAGAGTGTGGGGATCATGGGAAAGGGTAAAAGGAGAGTAGGAAGGAAAGAAGGGGAGTAAAGAAAAATATATAGCTCAACAAAAACAATTCAATAAATTAAAAAAGGAAAAAAGAAAAGTAGCAGAGAGACTTGCCAGGAAGAAGAAAGTTTTCAACAAAAGAGAGAGGTGGATGAAAAAGTGCTTGGGGGAGACAATCTTAAAACTGCTAAAGTCCTGTGTGTGTGTGTGTGTGTGTGTGTGTGTGTGTGTGTGTGTGTGTGCGCTCAGGAAACTTAGTAAAATGTGGTGATCTGTCAAAGACTTTTCCAGGCTCCTGGTATCCATCAGTATAAACAGCAGACAGACAACCTTACTCTGACGCATTTGTATTCTTGCAGGCAGACAGGAGAAAGATAGGAAGCCACAGACACAAAGCAGGACTCCTCCTTACCATTGTTGTGCTTCATTGCAACTCGTCAGCCACTGTCGACCATAGCCAGAAAATACCAGAAGTAAAAAGACTATACCTTTTCAATCGCGTCTCTCTGAATAGTTTGATGAAGTTTTGCTCAAAGTAATACTCCCTCCAAAACAATACTAATAAGATATGTGAGGAGAGAACCCCATTCTCCATAACTTTTATTACACTGTTTTACGGTTGCCCTGTTTTATTTTTAGGGACAACTGGTAGTCCTTGGGCCTGATTTAAAAACTGAGCTTTGTGGTGGGTGCATAGTATATATATAGAATTCAATACGCTATGTGGTTTCAGACATCTGTTGAAATGCCTTGAAATGAATTCCCCACAGATGGCAGGCTGCTGTGAGCTTGTTCATTCTTCTTAAAGTGATCAAGAAAAGATGACACAATCGAGCGACTTGCATGGGAGATCTGGAGAACCACAGACTTGCAGGGACTACAGGAAGCTGGGTCCTGAGCAAAGGTGTAGGAAGAGAGAAAGCATCAGGAGCTGACTCTAGGTCGTGTGGAGCCCTGTCAGTCTCTGCAGTTACCCTGAGAGAAATGGAAAGTAAGCCACACTGCTCCAAGTTGAAGACACTTCCAGCAATGAATCTTTTACTGAGACTTCCATTATAAGGCTGGACATACAAGAGATCTGTCATTCCAGTAATGTTCAAACAGTCTCAGCCGTCTTCTTCAGCAGCCTCCAGCCTCTTCCCTCTAGGTGTCATGGCTGATGCTGGCTCTTCACTGAGTTGACCCCTTAATGCCTATCTTGAGTGGGGAGGGTCTCACCAGGATCCTCACAATATGTGGCATGGTGACCCCAGAGTTGTGCAGTGCAAGCTCACAGATCTGTGCATAGTGTTCCTAACATACTCCTTCTGGGGTCTGCAGTTTTGGGTCTCTTGTGTTATTTCACAGGGTGATACTATGTCTTAACATCTCTCTTCTCACATGAAGAACAGATAGTGACTGGGTGGTGGTGGTGCACGCCTTTAATCCCAGCACTCAGGAGGCAGAGGCAAGCAGATCTCTGTGAGGTCAAGACCAGCCTGGTCAACAGAACGAGTTCCAGGACAGGCTCCAAAGCTACACAGAGAAATTCTGCCTCGGTAAAATAAAATAAAATAAAATAGAACAGGAAACGCCCAGAAGAGGAACTGAAATACAACAGCTTCACCAATATCATTCTTAATAAACAAAATGAATTGCTGCACAGGGCCAGATAATTATGACAGGGTTTTAGACACCAGATTGTAAGTATGTACAGTCACTGAGATTGGATGAGGAATCGCAGCCCAGCTGGCTCATTGTACCAGGAGTTCCCACAGCCAGCAGAGTAATTATAGCAGAGGCACTAGATCTGCTGGGTGATTACCATGCAGTCATGGAGTTCAATGTGATGATAGCAGGGCTCCAAACACGGGCACTAGGCAGTAACTGGAGACACGGTGATGGTCACAGCTCAGAGACAGGGATGCTGAAACATCGAGCCCTAGGATGGTTCTGTCAGTCACCCCGCATCAGGCACACCCTAAAGTTGAATGAATCTTCCCCCCAAATTTTTTTTCTTTTTGATCTTAGAAATGCACCTAGCTCCTTTTATATAATATCAAGGACTCTGCTACTGAGTCATGCCCTAACTTCAACTGGTGGGTTCTTTGCAGGTGTCCTATTGAGCCATGTCCTCCTCCCCTCACTGGGGAATTCTAAGTGGGTGCTCTACCACTGAGTCATGCCCCCATACCTTCAGTGGAGGACTCTAGGCAGGTTTTCTACCACTGAGCCACACTCCAGCCCCTCACCAGGGGATTCTAGGCATGGGCTCCACCACTGAGCCACTCTCCCAGCCACTCTCTGGTGAATTCTAGGCAAGGGTTCTACCACTGAGTCATGTCCCCATTCCTTCAGTGAAGGATTCTAGGCAAGTTTACTACCACTGAGCCACTCTCCCAGCCCCTCACTGGGGGATTCTAGGCAAGGGTTCTACCACTGAGCCATGCCCTCATTCCCTACATTGAGGATTCTAGGCAGGCGCTTTGCCTCTGAGCCACACCATTTACTCCCCATCCCCTACCAGCACAGGTCTCTTCCTCACACTCACATCCTTTGGTTTTGTGTTGTTTAACCAGGGCAATCTGTGTGACCACAGGTTTAAAACTATGCACTGGAGCCAGGTGGTCTCACCAATGGGTGCAAAACTGAAGGCGATGCTACCTCCTCCCCTAGAATCTATGAGTAACCAAAAGTTAAGCAGAGAAAAGTAGGACATTGCAAGCCCCTCCCTCATCTATAACTGACTGATGGCAGGCTCAGACTTGCACAGGTCCCAGTGCAGGTGATCACAGCTGCTGTGAGATCACAATTACATGGTATTCTAGGGGCTTTCTAAAGGTCCCCAAAGTAGAGATGTTGTTGGCGTGACAACCACTGTGATAACTGTGGCTCCTATGACAGAAATAAAGTGCCCTGAGGAGACTGTCTGATGTAAAGGCTCTCCCAAGTGTCAGTGGCTAGATTGGTGATTCTTTTAGCAGGAACGAGGGATTTAAATCTGCTGCAACAGTCGTGATGATGGCTGAGGAAGCAGCTGCTTGATTGACAGCACCCATGGTTCCCCAGAGAGTGACTATCTACCTCCAGAGAGCTTTCAGACCTGGCAGCAATGTCACTTACTGGCCTGTTGGATACTGGGGATGGTAATCAAGAAGATGACTCGTCTTTCTGATCCAATCTTTGTCACTGTCCTTCCTGGGACAGTCAACCATCCTGATTCCAGGAAACCACTGATACCTGTAGGCACAAGGAAAATGTCTAGACAACTGTCAGTCAAGCAGCTAAATTTCTGGCAGCTGGGAGAAAACATTACAGTATGCTGGTTGAAAAGATCAGCTATGGAAGTAATTAGTCATCTTCAGTGAACTTTAAAATCTAAGAACATTTAACCTCCAACCAGTACCCTAGGGAGGACTGAGTTCTCCAGATCTGCCGTAATTCCTGGCATTTCTTTTTTCCTTCCCCTTCAGTCTGCTGGACGCTGTGTTCAGAAATGGTGGATGAGAAGATAAGCCTTCCCAACTCAGCTCCGGGTGCAGAGGAAAGCCATTTTTCTTTCTATTTTTATATTTTAATACTTGTTTGTGTGTTTGTTTATTCATTGATGGTTGCAGGGTCTCACTCTGTGGCTCTGGTGTTTGTGCTACCCTTATGGAGATCAGAGTAGAACCTGTGGGAGTCAGTTTGCTCCTAATCAAGTGGGTCATGGGATCATACTCAGGTCTTCGAGGCTCAATGTCAAGTACATTTATCCACTGTGGTGGTTTGAATAAGAATGACCCTACAGGATCCCAGTTAATGGAACTTTTAGGGAAGGATTAGGAAGTGTGGTCTTGTTAGAGGAGGTGTGACACTGGATGTGGGCTTTGAGGCTTCAAAAGCCCACACCCAGCCCAGTCTCTCTCTTTTTGCCTACTGCCTGTGGTTCAAGACATAACTCTCAGCTTCTTTTCCAGTACTATGCCTGCCTGCTTCCTACCTTGCTCCCTGGCATGGTGAGAATGGACTATCCTTCTAAAGCTGTAAGCAAGATCCCAATTAAATGTTTTCTTCTGTAAGTTGCCTTAGTTGTGGTGTCTCTTCAACAGAACAGTAACCAAGACAACTGCTAAGCCATGTCACCAACCTATGGCAAACTGTTTCAGCACATTTCAGGCCCAACAGTAGGAAAGAGGCTCCATAGTGAGCAGCAGAATCACAAATACGAGATTTTTTCTGAGTCCTTTAACATGTCAACCACAGTTCTATATAACATTATACAGAGTGCTGTTTCCATCACGGAGATATAATTTGGGGTGCATAAAGAGGTCTTGTGGTAGACACAACAATGGGACACAGCATGAGTGTTGTACCTGAGGGACATGTAGCAGAATGTGAATAGAAACTTACAGTGTGACTGCCGTGAGGACCTCACTGTAACCATGTTTAATATGGCTTCTGCCTCATCCCTTTTAGGCATGTCTATCAGATGGCTATATCACAATCCAGTAGTATCCCAAAACCTACCTTGATGCCCTAATCAATGCATCCCCTGTGTGGTCCAGAAATCCAACTCTTGGGTTTGTACCCTAGAGGAAATGAAGCCAGTGTGTCAAGAGACTCCTGCACTCTCAAGTTCACTACAGCATTGTTCACAACAGTCAGGAGGTGGAGTTCACTACAGCATTGTTCACAACAGTCAGGAGGAGGAGTCAAGGTCACTACAGCATTGTTCACAACAGTCAGGAGGTGGTTAGTTTTATGTTGACTTGATACAAGCTAGGGTCATCTGTGAACAGAAATCCTCTACTGAGAAAATGTCCACATCAGATCAGTTTGTAGGCAAGTTTATGGGCATATTTTGATAAACACTTGATGTGGGTGGTTCCAATTCACCGTGGGCAGTGGCATACCTAGGCTGGTGGTCCTGAGTTGTATAAGAAAGCAGGCTTGTTTGTTTTAAGAAGGCTGCTTGTTTGTTTCCCAGCCACCCGGCAGTTTAGACCTGAAATAATCACACAGAAACTATATTATTTAAATCACTGCTTGGCCCATTAGCTCTAGCTTCTTATTTGGTAACTCTTACATCTTAATTTAACCCATCTCTATTAATCTGTACATCACCACAAGGCTGTGTCTTACCAGCAAAGTTTCATTGCGTCTGTCTCCAGTGGAGGCTTCATGGCCTCCCTCAGACTCTGCCTCCTTTCTCCCAGCATTCAGTTAGTTTTCCCCACCTACCTAAGTTCTGCCTTATCAGGTCAAGCCAGTTTTCTTTATTAACCAATAGCATTCACAGCATACAGAGGAGAATCCCACATCACTAGTCCATGGTCCTATAGCAACCAGGGTCTGTGTTGATGTCCATGGCCTGTGTGGCAGCCAAAGGCCACATGGATGCTCAGTGTCTGGGCTGTCACCTGTTCCCATGTTAGGGACTGAGGGATGTACCAAGGCTGTAGGCATGCTGTTCTGAGTATCCTGCACTTCCATCCATGGTCCTGGTGTCATCTGGGCCGTAGCTGCAGCCAAGGTCCATATCTAGATCCATAACCCTACAGCAGCCTGGGCCTGTGTTGATGTTCATGGCTCCTGTTACCACCAAAGGCCATGTAGATGCCCAGGGTCTGAGTCAGCACCTGGTGTCTAAAGGCCATGGTGCCCCAAGGGTCACTCAGATCTGAATGCCCCG